ACAGTTCTTTCTCTAACAAACCCCATATAAACCCAAGTTTAACAATTTGTAGAAAACTTCAAAAAAGTGCAACAAATTTTCACCTATGTTTCAAACTTTTTTCTCGGAAGTGTTTGAATTTTTCTTAATACACAGTTTTATAGCCCAATCAATTTCAGTCTGATAATGTGCAAGTTTCAAGTGACTGAAAGTTACCGTTGATTTTTTAGAGTTTTTTTCGCCAAAGGTGTTGCGGTTTTCATCCATATACAAATAAATTAAGTTTATTCATTATATGGAAGCCAATGCGACAAAAAAATTCTAAAAAATTAACGGTAATTCGTAGCCACTTGAAATTTGCACGTTATCAGACTAAAATTGCAGTGGCTAAAAAACTGTGTACTCGAAAAAATTCTAACACTTCCGAGAAAAAAGTTTGAAACTTAGGTGAAAATTTGTTGCACTTTTGAAGTTTTCTACAAATTGTTAAACTTGGGTTTATATGGGGTTTGTTAGAGAAAGAACTGTAGTTTAATTGAAAATTTTTAAAAATAAATAAATAAACATAAGTGGCACACAATATCACTTTGAAATGGCGTGCTATAGATATGACCGATACTGTATATACTAGGAATGTGAATCCCGGGATCCCGGACTTTTAAAGGTCTCGGATATCCCGGGATTCTTGGCAAGTAATCCCGGGATTTTCGGGATTTGTAATTTGCACTGATGGCAATAATAGAAACTCCTTTTCTTGACCAGTATTGGCTATATTTCTTTTTTTATTTAATAATTAATATTTTTGTACAAATGTCATACTTATAACACCGCGCGATAGTAAATTTTAAACACAAATATTAATGTATTCGCGAAACCATGGGCCAAATATAGTAAAATTGCGTTTTTAGTTATTCACTCTGACGTCAGTAATTCAAAAATTATTTAAAAAATTCAGAGAAATGTGCTTAGAGAAGAAGTATGGGTATACAATTAATGAGGAAATCCTGTAGAATTTAAACAGATTCAAGTTTCTGGTGCGGAAGGGCTGGTAAATATTGAAAATGTCATTTTAATATTTTATCCTTGAAATTGTTTTTGAAAAAATTATATGTTAAGGGCTTATATAAACTTGATAACAGCTATGAATNTAGTACTTAGTTTTATTTTTGCTCGACATAATATTCTTAATTTTAAGAGCAAAAATTGTTCAACACGAAACACTATATGGTAACAAGAATGATATAATACAAGATTCCGCATTCCCGGCGGCGATGAAATTTCTCAAGTAAAAGTAAACAAAGCCGAATTGGAGGAGAAAAAAACTGTAAAATAGTAAATTTTCTCAGTAATACATTTTTCGACAGGAAACGTGGTTTCATTACGTTAAATTTTAAAATATATGATTTATAAAAAAATTAATAGCGAAAATTAAAAAAACGGCGACTTTTGTGAAAGTATTAGCAAATTTCAGTGCATCTAACGTTTCTGAGGTGTTGTTTACATTTACTTGACAAATGTCAAAATCGGCAAATCGCAAGTAGCGGTTTCTGTAACGTGCCACATTTGTTCGCTACATCGTGATGTGATAGAACGAAACGCTGACAGAACTCCGCAAGGTTGCAAAAAAATTTATGTTCCATATGGAAGGAACCGCTTTACACTGTCAAGGAAAAAATATCCGAAACTCAATGCAATTTTTAGCAACTTCAATCTAGCACTTTGTTATTCTAAAATAAATTTTTTTAGAGTCTAATTAAAAAGTTTTCAATTTAGGTGAAACCTTACCGAACACACCCAGAAAAAGGTTTAGTTATAATTACCAAGATTTGGTTATAGTGACCAAGTGGCATAGTTGGATATGGCAAAACAAATATATAGTTCACGAAAGTCTGCAATTTACTTGAGACTTCTAGTTGGGACAAAGCTACTTTTCCATACGAACACAGATATATCTGCTGAGAAACCCCGTTTGGCATCAAACTTTATATTTTTAAATTTTTAAATAACTATGCGCGCACCGAAACAACTCGCGGCGATAGCAAAACTGAAACTGAGACAAACAAGACTGGGCATGTCATAGCGCACACTTTTCTTTCGATACCTAGCGCAGGGATCGACATAATGGTCGGCATAAGAGCCTGTAAAGATCTTTCTGGCTGTTCACACATCGAAATAAAATTTCTCTTTCTCAATTTGACAGCGAATTGCGTGCGAAAGACGGAAATATTGCCACGTCTGACACGCTCTATACTAGCCCATTCAAACGATTCAATAAGTGGGACTGTGTGCATTGCTCAGCTGGCGCTCTTCGTATGTGAAACACACATGTGCTCAAAGAGCGCTCAGCATTCTTTAGGGGTGGCTCACAAGCATGAATATGTTCCGCTCTCAAATCAAGTCATGGTTGCCTCAACTAAGATTTGGTAACTATGACTAAACCATTTGTTGAAAGAAAGCTGACCTGCATTAGCAGAGCTTAATAACATCCTTTTATGAACCATGCGTTAAGTTGAATGGAATTTGTAGAAATTTGCTTCAAAGAAATATTTATTAGTATTTACGAAACCCTTCAACTAAATTAACGATTTGGTACAACTTAGATGAATATTAGAAGCTTTGATATATTTATTTATAATTGCCAACCCATGGTTATAGTTCCCAATCCTTGGTAACAGTTCCCAAATATTGTGAAAATTCGGAAACTAAATATCTTTAGTTGTCGAAAGTAATCCTTTTTCTCAGTGCATATATAAACTCGATAACATCCTCGAATTTCGATCTTCAAACTTTGGCAGCTTAAAAATTATCTATTCGTCCTTGTGAATCCAAAAAATTTAAATTTTTTATTATTAATTTCAAACAATATAGAAGCAATTTTTTCGATTCAAATTGTTGAAAAGTAATGAATATCTAAATCTCGGGACTAATTCTGGGATTGTGACAACGCTCTGTGGAAAATTATCATCCCTAGTATATACCTTAATAACTGACCGAGCGTGCACAAGAAAATTGCAATATAAATTAGAACATTACCTACAACATCTGCTTAAGGCTCATTCCACGGTGACGGGTGTGACATTTCAACTCATATTTTAAGGCTTAATTCTTAAATTGTAATACAAAATTCTTTAAGACGTATTTTGTAATAGGTTTCCGAGATATCCACAATGCCTAGAAAAAAAAATTCAAAAACAATTTAATCCGAACGAGCTATCTGATATTTACTCACAGTGAAGGGGTGTGACGAGTACGAAAACCAAATTAGCTACTCCTTACTTGCATCAGAGTTTTTCTGGTAATTATGTCTTCTGCTTATGGTTTTAAATAGTTCGTTGTATAGTTAAATAAATATTCTCAACATTTACGCAAAAGTTGCTAACCGCTATTGGAAATTATAGATTATATGTTGAAATTCGTTCAATTTATCTCATGCACCCATTGCCGTGGTGAATTTTTTGACGTGAGTCAGCTCTGGTGGCTTAACGCACAAAGTTATCATCGCTAGTGCCTTCTGGTCAGCCTTTGCCCATGCAGCTGCAGTTTCTTCTGATGCTGAAGCTGGACATGTCTTAACTTCAACATCCCAATAGTATTGTGTTATTAGAAGACTTTTCATTGTAATTGACCATGTCGCGTAGTTTTCATTATTTAGTTTGCGCTATCGATTACTCATTTTATTATTTACCAACCGACCAACGAATTTTAGAAATTTTTAAACCAATAACAAATCGACAAACGATTTAAACAATTATATTATATATAAAATAAATACTTTTGACCACCGAAAGACGTGTTCACAACTTGCCCTGGGCCCATAGCCTTTGTGAGCATATACGAACAATGGAAGAAAACACGAACGTTCGATAGGACGATATTTATTGAAGTAAAAAGTGAAAAATTTACATAAAGAGAAACTAGGTTCTAATACAATACATACTATGTCTGCAATTGATACACAAACATATGGAAAACTCTACATTGTGATTAAAAATCAATATTTTAATCATGATTAGCTCTATTAAATTTAGCTAATTGATTAAAAACCACTGTATTAAAAATAAAAAATAAAATATTTATTTTTCTCCCATAAATCCTAGGCATATACATACTTTTTAAAGTTTTCAAGATTTGGATAGCTTCAAAAAAATATTTTGGAAATAAAAAAAAATAAGATTTCGATATCTATTAAGAAAATTCTTTACTCTAAATTTAGGTGGCAACCCTATTCCGAAATACAAAATAAAAATTTGTATTACATAGAAGCATGGCAAGCCTCATGGAAAATATTTTCTGACCAAAGTTCTCAACAATACTTTTCATTTGATATCCATATTGCGATGTTTTAGATAAACCGTGTAGAATCGAAAATAAATGGCAACCTTACACTATTATCATAAGAGATAACATTTTGTGTATAGGGAAAGCGTTGTTTAAGAACCTTCTTTTGGTACCCATGAATAGTGATATTTTATATTTTTTTCTAAACAAAAAATTAAATAAATATGCTATTCAAAATACCCATATTATGATGTTTTAATAAATTAGTAAAAAATTTTGAATAGCTAGCAACCTTATACGAGTAATCTCGGAGATAATGCCTATTCAGATAGCCTTAGAATCCAAAACATTATCTGTGTACAAAATCATCAAAATCGTTAGAGCCGTTTCCAAGAACTCTATGGATATATGGGCAAATCTCGGAAACCGTGTGCTTTTGTGTCACTCACTTTTAAGTTAATTTTATTAATGTAATTTTTCTTTTTATAAAAAACTTGGGCCATTTTGAAAATAAATGAGACGAGTTCTTGTTACTTATTTAATTTTATTATTTTAATAATGTCATTTTAAATTTTATAAACAATCCAAGGCGAATTAATATAAGGTGATAGCAGGAGAACAAAAACAAAAATTTACATGTATTTTGTTTTTGCTTTGGCGGCATAAACTATCAAAATCTGTGAGTGTGTGTTTGCGGAAATTCAAACAAAATTTTTCAATTTGCCATTAGAAGCCGTGAGGCGAAACACATATACAAAATCAGCTGATCTAGTAACACCACCTTATATAAATTCGCCTTGAAACAATCAAAGTAATTAAAATAACAATTTTGATGTGTTACTTTGGGTACATTTTGTACGTTTTTCGAGTATAACCTTTTCAGTGCAAAACGGAGATATTCAAAAATCATATGTGCTCCTCATTGGAAATAAACTGTAACAATTTGAAATCTGTCACTCGTAATTATCAAAAAGCTAATATCACAAGTTCTTTTTCATTTTACACTTTCAGCGATTACTAAACTGTTCTTATTTGTTTATATAAATATTAACTACTAATTAATTATTAATTAATTAAACACCATACACCTATTCGATAGAATTGAGATATTAACAAGTAAAGAAGTATAAGTTCGGACGAAAACGAACTTTATATATCCGGCGTTGGTATCAAATATCGTCGTTTCAATTTTCTCTATGCATGATAAGCAAGCGTATGTTTGTCGATTTCAAACGTTTTCGATAATATGCTGAGTTAGACTAAATAATATGGTTAGCCCAAGTCTGGTAGAAATCGATAAAGTGGTCATAAAGTGGGCGGTGCCACGCCCATTATCCAAAAATTTATAATAATCTAATTTTACGCTAAGTGGTTATCGCAATAGTCGAGCCAATTAGCTTCAATAGTTACTGATTTATCGCAGTTTTCGTGTTTCCGTAAAATACCGTTATATGGCGGGTGGGCGTGATATTCTATATTGGCAGTAATCTAACTTCTTAATATGTAAGCATTCCGAAATCAAAACGAGACGGTCAAGTACCGTTTTTATGGATGTATGTATATGTGTTGTGTACATGTTTATTTATAAACGTATGTGTACGTGTATTTCTACGTGGTTATTTAAATATCTGTACTGTAATGTTTTCGGACCGTGCTAGTTGTTATTGCCTATATAGGAGTATTACATATATGCGTTACGCCCATTTTCTAAACATTTCATAATATTATTTTTTACCAAAATTCTACTTCACATACAAATTTTCAACTATTTGGACGTAATATTTACTGAAATATCGTAGCTCTTGCATTTTTCGAAAATACCGTTATATGTGAAGTGGGCATGGTTACATTCCGATTTCGTCCATTTTCAATACCAACCTACCTTGTATAAAGGGCAACCTACATGCGAAATTTCGTGGAGATATCAATATTTGCTCGAGTTATCTTGTACACGGACGGACAGACGGACAGACAGACTTGGCTTAATCTTTTCATTCTGAACATTTATGTATACACATTTGTCTATATCTATCTCAATTCGTTTTGGCTGTTACAAACAACTGTTATGTGAACAAAATTATAATACTCTTGTGCACAAGTTTGCCCGGGTATAGAAAAGGACATCATCGCATATCTAATAATTAATCATCGACGAAAATCACATTACCTAAGACAAACACTGGAACCAGACAGAATGAAAAATGACATTGAAGATGGCACAACACCGAAACCGGTTTGTCTGCAAACCAAGCTTGACAAGGGATGATAAAATTCGTTCCAAAATAAATCAACAATAAGGACCTTCATTTACAAAAAATATTTTATGCAAAAAAAAAACATTGCCAGTATTTAAACCAAGAGGACGATCTAAAGGATGTAAAAACACGGTCAAAGGTTTTCCCAAAAAAACAGGTAAAAGGACCAAGGATGTTTACAAAAATGACAAGCATGGAAAAATGTTCTACAATATTGAATTGGCAAAACGAGCTCTACCAGGGTATCATTTAATTGATGAGGACGAAATTGAAACGATGTCTGAAGCAATTACAAATGCAATTATGGACGACAACGTAAATATATTAATTACGAAAAAATATTTTACGGCTGACGGGTGAAAATTCGTTGAATCATCATTAAATTTAAAATATTGCAAATCTTCTAATGCTCACTGTGTAATATAGATTTAGAGAAAACTGTTGATGCTGATGTAAAAAATATACCACCTGAGAAGGTTTGATCGGCAGCGATTATTGTCTCTTTTGGTACCATTTGCATTGTGTGGGGTTAAAACAACTCTTAAAACAAATAACATGGATGTACAACATTACTTTCATGAATATTAAGGTTGCCAGAATTTTTTAACATGCCAGGTGGACAAATTCTCCACATTGAAAACACAACACATTTTTTATATTTATTTTAACACATAAATAACAAGTAAATAAACAATTCAAAGTTTCTATAAACACAAGTCGAAAAAGTTAATAGTACACTGCGTTGCATAATTATAAGACCGTTACATATTTATTTTTAACCGACATAAAAAAGTAGGTTATCAATTCGTCGGAATATATTTTTGGTATGTTAGCGCATACATTCGACCACCTCCACCGATATCGATAATTAATTTTCTATAGGAAAGGTAGTGTCCTACATGTGGTCCCATACTAATTTGATTTGGATGCGATCATTGGATCATGAAAAAATTAACGGTGCTTGAGGGTAATTTTTTAGAGAATTTAATGCCCTACAAGAATATGCCTTTGAAAAACCTTTATCCCTTTTTTATGTCTTTTCTTAACGGTTCAAAAGTTATAACATTTTTAATGAAAACAATTTTTTTTACATGTTATTTACATAGAAAATTCAAATGCCGACCGACAACTTTTAAAATTGAAATAAAAATGTTTCCAAATGGGAGAATTTCCTTTTCAGTAAATAGGTCATTTTAGGCCATAAATTCGTCAGGTTGGTTGTTTTAATAATAATAATAATAGATTGGCGCTTACACATATGTTAGTGTTTGGCCGAGCTTCTCCTCCGACTTGTGGCGCGCGCCTTGATGTTGTCACACCTACAGTTTTACGCTGACCCCGAACGGCGATTGTATTTTTATGAGAAGCTGTTTTTCATGGCAGAAAAACACTCGGAGGTTTGCCATTGCCTGCCGAGTGACGACTGCTGTTAAGAAAAAAACCTTTTTCTATATTTTTTTTGCGATGTTGCTTTGACCAGGGCTTGAACCCAGGTGCTGATGAGGGAAAGCGCGCACTGCTTACCACTACACCTCAGCGGCCAAAATAACAGCGGTTAGTTATTTTGGATCACCCTAATATATATATACGAAAATTACTCCTTTACAGTGATAAGAATAAGTGGCAAATTTTCCGGAAAAAACCTCCGAAAAAAAGTCTGGATCCGCCGCTGGGCCTGTGGTATTTTTGATTATGTACTTGGATGTGAAATAACACATTTTCTTAAAAATTTTAAGCTTATTTGCGCTATAATGTAACGAACGTACTTGTTTTAAGCCATCTTGCAAATGCTTTATCAAGATAAAAAATTCCCACACAAAAATATTGCCATTGATAAAACTTACACATATCTGGCAAATAAAATGACATGTGGTAGGCAATAATTTTCCCTGTGAAGACGCGTCGTTAGCTAGTTTTCAGTGTTGTAAAAGGCCGTTCGCACCAGGCGATTTTGCGTTCAACTCACGCACGGTTACACGAAAAACAAATTGAATGGCTAAAAATATCAAAATATGAAAAAATATCAAAATATTCACCATAGAAAGGCGTTTGCATTGTTCAACTTTGCATTCTACTTTTGGTTGAACGGCCTTTCAACTAATCGCCAGTTGGTCGCCAGCCAAAATTTAGCCATTCTACTTTTTTTCGTGCAACCCTGCGAGAGTTGAACGCAAAATCGCCTCGTGCGAACGCCTTTTGAATGGTAATACGGCTTACCTACAACAGCGGAAATAACTTTGTTCGATCCTCCAATTACCCACCCCTTTCCCACGCGCACATTCTTAATTCAATTTGACAGTTCTCTATCTCTGTGTTTTGTTTGTTTTGCTTCACTAAAAAATTTGTGCAAAATTTAAGTAATTGCTTTGCGTACTTATAACAAGTGCCAGTTTTCATTTGTAAACTGGTTTCGATAAATGTCCGATAAAAATTAGAGACGGCAGCGATTTGTTCGTAATTCGCATGGTAATTGGATCTGAATGACCAACAAAATTTAGTATGGCGGATTACGTAATTCCAAGGGTAATTGGAGTGCGAATTACGAATAAGAGAGCAAACTACGTAATTCGCGTGCAGTGGGAAAGCCGTATTAGATATTATTTATTAGGGCTAAAAGGCGTTTGTACTGTTCAACTTTCAAAGGCGGTTAGTTGAATCAAAAGCTTACATCATTTAACTGAATGTTGAACAATGTAAACTCCTTCTAAATGCAATGATTATGTACGATTATGAAATAATAATATTCTGAACGAAATTTTTGGCAAATTTCATCACTGCTATAAAACTTGAGACGGAGGACAAGGAGGACATTTTTGCTCAAAAGAAGGACAGAGAAGGACAATATTTTTGAGGAGGACAAATCACGTTTGAGGATGACAATTCTCCTCAAAGGAGGACGGTTGGTCAGCTTAAGAATATGTCTATTTATTTCTTACAGCGAAATCGACAAAACGTATGAAAAAACAACTCAACAAGAAAGTAAAATATTTTTTCTTTTCATCTGAACAATTTTATTTTGTGGATTTTTAACATATCTTTTTCGACTATAGATATTCATCCGGAAAAATTCAACTTCAAATGGAATTCAAAAAAAAATTCAATTTGAAACTCAATTGGCTTAAAATAACATATTAATTGCGCAAATTTTCCCAATGAAAAACAAAAAATTCCGGACGAATAATTAAACAATAATAATCCGGATATTCCGGTACAATAAGAAATAAGTATTCGTCCGGAAGTTCCGGATGATTAGGGACAGCCTTTTCGAAAACGGTAAACTCGATTTTTTCCAGAAAAGCGAAAGCTAAAAAATTTTTTCTTCCACAACAAGAATGCTACAATTAAGGGCATAGTAAAATAGTGGATATCTCAATTCTATCGACCTGGTGTATGCTATCAAGTTAGCACTACTTACCAGTTTTTCTTAAAAAAACGAAAACTTCAAAATTTACAACAAAAAAGCTAGAATTAATGCCGTTGCAACATTTTCAATATCTCAATTCTATAGAGTAGGTGTATGGTGTCAAGTTAGCACTACATACCATATTAAAAAAAAAATAGAGCTACACATCTTTTTTCACAACAAATTTACAACAAAAAAGCTACAATTAATGTGAAGTGGTGAAGTGCCGTCGAACCGATCGAGTGTTGCCGTGTGACGCGATTTTTGCCGAAATGGTATAAGATTTTAAAAACTTTGCATCACATTAAAAACACAAACTGGTAATTAATGTAGTTTTTATAACGAATATTTCAGGTCAGTAATATTCCTATAAGCGTAAAAATGTCTGGTAACACAGGTGAAAGTGCAATTTTAACATTTAGAATTTAGCGCATTTTAGCATTTTTAACGAATATTTCAGGTCAGTAATATTCCTATAAGCGTAAAAATGTCTGGTAACACAGGTGAAAGTGCAATTTTAACATTTAGAATTTAGCGCATTTTAGCATTTTTAACGAATATTTCAGGTCAGTAATATTCCTATAAGCGTAAAAATGTCTGGTAACACAGGTGAAAGTGGAATTTACCATGATAAAAGCATGCTTACACATTGAGATGTTAGCGTACTACCAATATAGAAGTATTACATATATGGGTAAAACCGTTCTCTCAATGCGTCGGCCATGATTTTTTTTTTGATGTTTGCCAACATTTTAAAATCGTATAAAATTGAGAGTAAAAATTGGATATTGTTTAAAGTTGTTGTTGTTTGAGATTGAAAATAAGAATGTGTGTGTAAAATTTTAAAATTAAATTGCTTGCAAACGTCAAGAATTTGAAAAATTCCTCTGAGCGGTTCTACCTTCCTATTTGTTTTATCATGGAATTTACCATGATAAAAATATAGCAAGGTAGAACCGTTCTCTGAATTTGNGAGCGGTTCTACCTTCCTATTTCTTTTATCATGGAATTTACCATGATAAAAATATAGCAAGGTAGAACCGTTCTCTGAATTTGTCGGCCATGATTTTTTTTGAAGTTTGCCAACATTTTAAAATCATATAAATTGAAAATAAAAAAATTAAATTGTTTGGAAACGTCAAGAATTTTAAAAGTGACTCTCAGCGGTTCTACCTTACTATATTTTTATCATGGAATTTACTACATTCTCTGCATGATAAAAACATTACAAGGTAATTTAATTCTCTCAATTCGTCGGCCATACTTTTTTTTCTGACGTTTGCCAACATTTTAAAATCGTATAAAATTGAAAATAAAAAATTAAATTGTTCACAATTGTTGTTGTTTGAGATTGAAAATGAGAGTGTGTGTGTGAGTTTGAGTTTTGAATTTTTAAATAATATTGCTGGGGGGGGGGATGGATGTGGGGGTTCTGACATATAGTTCGCTCTTTAACAAAACCCGTGGAAATTCATGTTTCCAAATTTCAGCAGTCCACTTGCAAAGGCGCTATGTAAAAAACTTGTATTTATACGAATGTTGGTAAAGAACGAACTATAAAAAACTAACGAAATTAAATAACAACTAAAATAATATTTTAAAACTTGTCAAAATTTGGTGCGGGTATAATTTTTTCGACTACTGTACGTAAGTTGGCTATGATTACTCGGCCGTGATATCATAGTAGCACAGTGCCACTCATATTTGACTTACAAACAAACTACGGGCAGAAATTTCAAGATTTCAACCCGGTTTTTATGAAAAATTTTATTTTTATCAGTATTTTTCTTTTAATCAAAATATGTTGAAATAAAAGTGAAACTAAAAAAAAAAATTTGCCAGAAAATCGTAGTAGTAAACTATATGTTTAAAACACAAAACAGACAAAAAAACATGCGAAGAAAAAATATATAAAAATAAAAATAAAAGACCTGTAAATATGTAGGGAAAAACATATCTTATCAAAATTATATAAACAAACTATCTTAAAATTTCGATTTCTGTCATCATATGTACTTAAATCTAGTCATTCATACTATCTATAATTAAAAAACAAGAAAATAAAAACTGAGTTCACCAACTCGTCGTTAAAGTACAAATTTTACATTCACTATTCTTTTGTTTTACATTATTTTCAAATGTATTCTTATCATAGGAGATAAAATTGAAGACAAACTAGGGAAAATGGTTCCACAGGAAACCTATCGTTAAAATAGTTATTTAACGATTTTTTATATATGGGTCATTCCATTGAAAAGAGGAAAACGACATAAATTTAAATATGCCCTAATTATCTCTATTTCAGTAGTAGCCTCTTTATATATATATATTATATTTCATTAACCTGTGGGAAAATATTAAAAATTAATCAAAAGAAATTGTAATTTTTGCATATGGAAACTTTTATTTCATGCATGATTGCTTTACACCAGTCACAAGGAGATGTCCCAGCAGTCACAACTTTAAATATTTTTTAATATTTCTACGAAACCACATTTTTATTGAAAATGAAAGCGTATAATTCATATTTTACAATAAAAACACATCGTTCGTGAAAATTAAATGTTTTGGCTAAAATTCATCTTTGAGTGCACAAGGGTAAAATAAAGTTATTTTCAGTGTCCCACCCGTCACATTCATTGAAATGATAGTTACATAAAACTAAAAAATCGTTTGGTATTTTTGTTAAAGCAATTTTATACATTAGCTATCGTTGTATGTTAAAACATATCTTTCGCTGTTGTATAAGTTGCAACGACATAGGTAAATTGATCACATTCTGGACTAAAATGTCCCACTAGTCATAATTGAATGGCCCATATATTAAAATTACATTCCTGTCAATGTATGTATTATATCATAAGTATAATTGTGGTTTGTTCATTTATGCTAACACAATCCAAATCTTGCTCGGAAACTCACGTCAACAGTTACGCTGGCAGTTCATCAACCCAGCTGTATACGTTTAAACGCACAATAAGTTTGTAAATCGTCTTAAAAAAGACGTCAACACATGAACAACCTGGTGTCGTAGGGANATTGCTAACACAATCCAAATCTTGCTCGGAAACTCACGTCAACAGTTAGGCTGGCAGTTCATCAACCAAGCTGTATACGTTTAAACGCACAATAAGTTTGTCAATCGTCTTAAAAAAGACGTCAACACATGAACAACCTGGTGTCGTAGGGAGTTAGCTGAAAAACTCCCGACCATTTAAGGAGCCATCGCTTCTACAACCAAAAAAAATAAGCCTCGCGCATACGTGGCCGGCTAGTAACAAATAATTATAAAAACCATAAAAGGAATTGAGACAAGAATGATAGACTGCAATACAGCGAGCGTACCAGTTTGACAGAATAAAAAATAGCCAAAGTTCATAGAAAATAAGGATTCTGGCTATGTTTATGGTCCTATGTTACATCCTATGTACTGCCATGTTTGTACGAAAAATTGTTTTTGGACCAGATTACAGGGCGACTCTTTTAAATTAATAAAAGAAAAAACTGAAAATCGGTATTAATAGCCCAATTCTGTATCGGTGACCAAATTTTTTTTACTCGCAAATTTAAACATTTTCATATCGACTGCTGAGTGGAAGATCGACCTATCTAGGCAGCCAGTTCCAAAACGCCCTATCTCAAAAATCTTAAGAAAAACGTCCTATTTCAGAATTTGGTTGAAGAACGTCCTATTTCAGAATTCGTTTCAAAAACGCCCTATANGAAAAAACTGAAAATCGGTATTAATAGCCCAATTCTGTATCGGTGACCAAATTTTTTTTACTCGCAAATTTAAACATTTTCATATCGACTGCTGAGTGGAAGATCGACCTATCTAGGCAGCCAGTTCCAAAACGCCCTATCTCAAAAATCTTAAGAAAAACGTCCTATTTCAGAATTTGGTTGAAGAACGTCCTATTTCAGAATTCGTTTCAAAAACGCCCTATATCAGCACATTTTCAATACATTTTGAAGTGAGAGAGGGCATTTTTGAATCGAATCCTGAAATAGGGCGTTGTTCAACAAAATTCTGAGATCGAGTGTCTTTTAATAAAATTCTGAAATAGAGTGTTCTTGAAAAGTTTTTTGAGATAGGGTGTTTTTGAACTGGCTGCCGAGATAGGTCGATCTTCCACTCAGCAGTCGATATATGTTTCCGTAATAAATACTGTGCCAAGAATTTGTCAGTGATACAGAATAGAGCAGTTAATCGATACAAATATGAACAAGTAAGAAAGTCTTAAGTTCGGGCGGAGCCGAACATTAAATACCCGGCGCAAGTATTAAATATATGTTTTTCACCTTTACGAAAGCTACCACTAGATGGTAAGCCGGGGTGCATCAATTTTGAGTAAATTAGCGTCCTTAAATTTCGAATTATTGAAGTTTCAAGCATTTCTGAAATTTACCGTTATATAAAAAGCGGCCGTAATTTTAGTTCGATTTCAATAATTTTCAACGTTTTGCTTTTATTTGGCAAGCACAATAAAAATACCGAGTTTGGTACAAATTGGTAGAACGGTTACCGATATACATATATGTGATCATAAGTGGGCGGTGCCNCTGCAAACATCAATTTTGAGTAAATTAGCTTTAATATTTACTGATTTATCGAAGATTTAGTATTTCTCTAAATTACCGTTATATGGGATGTGGGCGTGGTTATTGTCCGATTTTTTAAAGTTTCGGCGATTTTTTATGCTGTACCAAGGCCAACAACTGTGCCAAGTTTGGAAGAAATTGGTGCAGCGGTTACCAAGATATACACATGTAACCATAAGTGGGCGTGGCTACGCCCATTTTCCAAAAATTTATAATATTCTTATTTTTCGTCTAAAACTTATTGTAAATATCAATTTTGAGTGAATAATCTCCAGTAGTTACTAAAATATCGCAGTTTTCGTATTTCTGAAAATTACCGTTATATGGGAAGTAGGCGTGGTTATTGAGCGATTTTAAAAATTTTCGGCCATTTGGTATGTTGTGCGAAGGCCAACAACTGTGCCAAGTTTGGAAGAAATTGGTGCAGCGGTTACCAAGATATACACATGTAACCATAAGTGGGCGTGGCTACGCCCATTTTCCAAAAATTTATAATATTCTTATTTTTCGTCTAAAAATTATTGTAAATATCAATTTTGAGTGAATTATCTTCAGTAGTTACTAAAATATCGCAGTTTTCGTATTTCTGGAAATTACCGTTATATGGGAAGTGGGCGTGGTTACAGTCCGATTTCGCCCATTTTCAATACCAACCTACCTTGGATTAAGGGAAACCTACATACCAAATTTCGTTGAGATATCTCAATTTTTGCTCGAGTTATCGTGTACACGGACGGACGGACAGACGGACAGACGGACGGACAGACAGACATGGCTTAATCGATTTCTCTATTCATTCTGAGCATTTATGTATACATTTGCCTATATCTATCTCGATTCGTTTTGGCTGTTACAAACAACCGTTATGTGAACAAAATTAATATACCCTTGGCCACAAGTGCGCTCGGGTATAAAAATTGGGACACTTATACGTCCCGCCTTTTAAAAAATATTCAGCGAAACAATTTTCTCAAAATCGGTGCAAACGGTCACCACATTCACACATATTTTTTTTGTACCATTAACAGATACGTAGAATTTTGAAAAAACGTCAGTCATCTTCGATACGAGTTCCATTTTGGGAACGTCGGGACGGGAACTTTTAATCGTTATACACTTACCATATAACATTTGTGGACAATATTTGTATAGGGTTCAAAAAGGTATTGCCGATGAATTTGTGTTAATTCAGAGCCTACTACAGTTTTTATGATAAAGAAAGTGTCTCCAAACGTAACACGGGGAACACCCATATGAAAACATGTAGTTTAGTTTCACAAAACACGTGTTTATTTTTTCTTTCTAAGTTTGAACCAATGGTGTTATAATTTCTAACTTCTTCAACGTTTTTTTTTTTTTACAGTTTCCAACAAGCCGCCATACGTTATCACCGAATCTGGTTACGCCGGTTTCTTGGTGCCGATAGATATATATTTTCGTAACCGCGATGAGCCAAAGCGTATACAATTTACTTACGATTTAGATTTGCAGCAAACTGGTCCACCACATCATCGGTTCGAGGTGCAAAAGTTTGTTTTCGACCATGTTTCGGAGGATTTTCGACAAAAGCTGCTCAAAGGAGGCGGCATACCAGTGACTGGTGCAGGCGTAGTTGGCGGTGGCGCCGTACCCCCGACCAATACCCCGCCGAATGCTGCTATCAGTGATGAAGGTGGTGGTATGATTAGCAAACCAAAACTGAGTAGCGGCGAAGCAGTCGGTGGTAGCGGCGGTAAAAAACACAAAACTCGCGTTGATGATTCCAAGAGTAATTCGTTTGCTAATCTCTTTGGTACACCAATAAAAAGCGGCTCTAGCAAACATTCGCCAGATGCTAAGAATAACAGTTTGAATGTCGGAGGCGGCAAAGGGGTACCTCACGCAAGCAGCGCAAGCGGTGGTGGCGGTGGTGGGGTAACACCTAACTCTGGCAGTAGCAATGCGAACAACGCTAGTGGCAAGGAGAAGTCCATTAAAGAACGTGACAAGATGAGCAGCTCGTCAACGGCTTCCGCCGGTAGTAGCGAGAAGCCACGTGAAAAGTCTGAAAAGAAAGAAAAGCATAAGTCGTCATCTAGCCCACACAAAGAGCCGCGTAGTGAGAGCAAGAAATCATCCGGCGAGAGTAGCAAACATGAAAAGCGCGAAGAATCGAAGTCGAAGAAGGATAAGTCACGAGAAAAAGAACGTGAACGCAGCCGAGAGAAAGCTGGCACCAAACGATCGCTTAGCCCGAAAGCAAGTACGCGTGACGTTAGTGCCCCAAGCCCGAAACGGCCGACTCCACCCCGATCTTCGTCGTCTGCAAGCGGGCGTGTGGAGGACGTAAAGCCAACGAATAGTAGCAACAAAACGGAGGTTAAGGAATCTAAGTCCCGCGAAGATAAATCTAGCTCAAGCGGCAAGAAATCTAAGAAAGAAAAGAAAGACAAGGATAAGGACAAAGAACGCGACAAGGAGCGTCGTGATGAGCACAAAGAAAAGCATCGAAGTGTCGAAGGGAAATCAAAGGATTCAAAGGAAGAACGTCATGGCGTTGCGGCCAACGTTGGCCCTAGTGGAGGTGCCAGCAATGTAGCGCCTTCAACGGCATCTAATGGGAACGCTGTAGTAGCGGAAGCTAAAGATCTCAAAGGCAAGCAATCTCCCGCGAATGTGAACGCCAAGAAGGCAGACAAAGATAAGGCGGAAGCAGCCAAGTTAAAGAACAATGATAAGACTGTCGATAAAACCGCGCCGATTGTTTCGGCAAACGGTACAAATACTCAGGCAGCTACTGCACCGGCTGGCAGTGGTGATAAGAAACCAACCGGCATTTCAAGCACCCAAGGCGAAAAGGTAGAGAAAGAGAAGGACAAAGAAAAAGAAAAGGAAAAGGAGAAAGAAAAAGAAAAGAAGTCGCATAAGCACAAGAAAAAGGACAAGAACAAAGACAAAGATAAAGAACGAGATAAAGAGCGTGACAAAGAGAGACACAAGGAAAAAGACAAAGAAAAAGACAAGGAAAAGGAAAAAGAAAAAGAAAAGGAAAAGGAAAAGGAAAAAGATAAAGATAAGGAAAAGGAAAAGGATAAAGATAAGGATAAAGAAAAGGATAAAGATAAGGATAAGGAAAAGGATAAGGATAAGGATAAGGAAAAAGAGAAAGAGCTAGTGGATGAGAAGATACGCCCGGAAAAGACCCGGGAATCTAATGCGAATGTAAATGTAACGACAACCGCAGTCACCGTAGATCCCGCTGCTACAGCGATTACAACCGAAACACCAGCACCACTTGGACCGCCCAAGAATGAACCGAGCAATGCAAACCCCGCCCTTAACGCTGCCAGCAGTGTCGCAACCACTAACAGCAGCAGCACTGCAACAGCGGCCGCTGCACCAACAAAGAAGTCACAAAGTAAAGAAAAGAAGTCCAAAGAGAAAGCATCCAAAGAAGAAAAGCGCAATGCAGCCGAGGAAGGCGAAGTGGTGGAGGTCCGAAGAAGCACTAAAAATGCTGCTAAAAGTGCTAACGCCGCCGCATCAGTAACATCATTGGCAAGTACCCCTACTGTCCCATTAATGAGCACCAATACCGCTACCAACAGCAACACCAATAATGATATGGGCGACGGCGCCAAAGCACATTCGCCAGAGGAAACCCCACTGCCGACGATAACCGCGGAGACAGCTGCAGGAACAGGCGCTTCAAAGACGACCTCTTCTACTGACCCTGCGCCCGCCGCTTTGCAATCGGATAGCTCGAATAGCAGTTTTCTGGATATACCACCAAAGCCGGTGGTAACCACAAAGCCGACATCATCGCCCACCACCAAAGCGGAGGTGACACCAGCAGCAAAGCCCGAGAAGTTGGCAGCCGCCAGCAGCAAAGAGTACAAGCAGCGTGGCAGCGAACGTAATGCAAAGACGAAAGATGGCGCCGACAAACAAGATAAAAAGATAGAAAAAGGAGAAAAGAAACGTCGACGAAGCTCTGTGGCAGCTGCCACCGTATCAGTAAACACGTTCATAGAACCTCCAATCAAGCAAGCCAAAAAGGAGGCTAACAAAGCGGCACGAGATCAAACGAAGTCGCCTGCACTGCGACACAGCCGAGCCGCTAGCATAAGCGGCCCACTCCTCGGCATCAATAACAGCAGCAGCAGCGGCATTAACTCGAATAACATCGGCAATGGCAACAACAGCAACAATGCGCCCTCGCAAAACAATAGCAGTTCTGCTTCTACTGAGGCACTCAATAGTGGCGGGGCATTTTTGCCGCCTCCCAATAACACGACTGGCACCAGTGTAACTAGCTCGCCAGCCCCTCCAGCCACCGCTACTACCGCCAATGCCAACGTCAGCAACACCAGCTCAAATGTTGCCGCAACTGCGAGCGTTTCGACAGCTGCTGCAGCAGCGGCAGCGCCGCTGGCACCGCCTCACCCACTGCGACCCGCATCACCGGCTGCGCCTGTCGGTGCGGCGGCCGCAGAGGCTGCAAGCGCCAACAGCGGTGCAACGCCCACGCCTGCATTACCAACTGAATATTTAAGCGAATTGCAGGAACTACATCACAAAATAATGACGCTACAAGATAATGACGAGTTGCAACAGGTGGTCGAGATGATTGCGGCAACCGGCTGTTACGAGATTACGGCCAAAACGTTTGATTTCGATCTATGCAAGCTGGATCGCAGCACTGTGCAGCGACTGCAAGAGTTCTTTGCGACATCTGTGTCGTGACACAAAATACATGCCTAAAATGGAGAAGTGCCTCGCAGCGGTGGCGGCTGGAAACGGAGCCAGAACGGCAGACGTGGCGAAAGGAGTGCCGACAAAGCAGCTCGTCTGTCTGCTATTCAAGCCAACAATTACCAACTAGCAAAAATTAAGAACAAGAAAGACAAAAAACAAAAGCCGGAGAGTACAGTGTAGAGCGAATTAGCGGGTGATGTTCAGACGGTGAACTTGAAGATAATATAGTAGTAAATAGTAAGAGGCTTTATTANCACGTGGCGAAAGGAGTGCCGACAAAGCAGCTCGTCTGTCTGCTATTCAAGCCAACAATTACCAGCTAGCAAAAATTAAGAACAAGAAAGACAAAAAACAAAAGCCGGAGAGTACAGTGTAGAGCGAATTAGCGGGTGATGTTCGGACGGTGAACTTGAAGATAATATAGTAGTAAATAGTAAGAGGCTTTATTAAAAGCGATTGGAAAATGATTAAATAATTGCTAAGCGATAGTAAAAACGCTTACTTTTTTAGCACTAGCTCATATGACACACCTACATGCACACACACATCACACAAGACACATTTGTAAAGATGCGTTGGATGCAAACGAAAATATTATTCATAAATACTGACCTGATGATAGCGTTTTTTCAATTCTAGGTTGATAACTGATAGTTATCAATGAAATTGACAAAATAATACTGTGAATAACAAGAAGGTCGCTAAATATCAAGAGAAAACTGATAGTTATCAACCTTTTGGTTATTCACATTTTTCAATTTGATTGGTAACAATCAACTTTAAACCGAGAAAGGATAATCGCGATAGGGGCCATCGCATTATGAACTCATTTGTACTCAAAATTCTGCGAGAAATACTTATAACACTTGCAAAGAATGAGAAGCTGTTCATATGATAATTGTTAGTAAAGTTATACGAGTTTAATTTTAGTAAAGCAAATGAAGCTTACTTTCAGTAATTAGACTCCTTTATAGTTTAATGAGAAAAATGTATGTTATTCCTTTATTATAATGTTATGGTCTTTTTCGTTTTTGTTTATACTAACAGTAATATGTTTTTAACATCAAGTATCCAAACTGTTTTCTTTACCTCAAAAAAATTTAAACTAAAAGATAGGCAAAGTCTATACCAATTTATATATATATTTTTTTATGGTACATATATTGAGCTCTAGTAATGAACAATGAATTCATTCGGCCTGATCGCAAATTTCATATGAACAAATGTTCCTAAAGATTTTAAAGCAAAATAAGTAAAAGCTATTTTTCCAATTTGTTTTTGTATTGCCTGTTAAATTATGGGAACGATTTATTTACATAGAATTGGCGATCAGGCTGATTATTTCTCCTTTGACGACGATGATTACACTGCAGAAATAAGCTTTGTCTTCATTACTTGCCAGTCAATGTGCAGTAAAATTCTCAATTCGCATCAACTTAACACATACAGTATGTACGTGTGTATGCATATGTATACATTTAATAAAACAGATTGCATACTAAACTTTCATTTTGTTCATCATTTGGACATTTCAGAAGACATCTAAGCATTTGAATATCATAAATACTGATCTGATGATCCATAGTACACAGATTCCCAAGTAACTCATCGATTTTTTTAGTTTTAATTCATTAAGTTAATTATAGGTTTTAGTTTTCGTTAAACTAAGAATACTAATGAAGAACTTAGTAAACATCGCACAAGTGTGTATTAAATATAACACTTCCATATACATATATGCATATATTGCTGTACCTACAAAAAATACTACAGGAATGTTGTATTAGTATGTATGTTGTAGTTTAAGACTAGTTTTAATAAAGTTTTTTCTCTCTCTAGAATCTAATTCTTATGTTTTTCAATTTGAACTTTAAAAGCACTTTAGAAAATTGCTAAATAGATTTTGTTATGTAAATTGTTTGAAATAATTTAATTTTGAAACTACTATATTCCTTTTCTTTAGTTGAATGTAAACCACATATGCTATATCAGCTAATTTCTGTTTGGAACAATAAAAGAGGTATTTATAATATATAGGGAAAGAAATATATGTATATGTGACGGGGAATGTTAAAAAGGACACCTACGGGTAGAAAAAGATCTACATATCTTTACTTTTTACCAATTCTTACAGTAGTTTTTACGTCCTTTAAATGCAATAAACCACAGCTTTAGTTTTTTCTCACAAATTCAAAGGTGGACGCATTGGAAAAAAAAAACGTAACTTCAACTTCCTTTTTATCGAAAACTTATCGAACCGAAGGTCCCTTTTAACTTTCTCAGTCACATATGTATTCTAGCACACAGTGTAATACAGCGAACCCGATACCCACGCCATTTTTTTTTAAGACAACTGATACGAGAAAATAAATGTTAATATTTTCTTATTAACCCAATCGGCAAAATTAAATTTTTAGGAGCCCTTATTTCCAATCTACTGAAGCGATATGCCCTCCGTGCTAGATTATTTCGTTACCTTAATATAAAAAGGCCCTATATCGCGTTGTAGCTGAAATGCAAAAAAACCATAACTATCTTAAATTTGTTATTGCATAAAACGATGTGGGGACGTATAATTTGATGAAATGCATCATATTCAATCAAAAAGTGAATTTTGGATTTTTTGTTAGTTACGGTTTTTGTATTTCAGCGACAATGGGAGATAGGGCCTTTCTATATTAAGGCAACGATTTACTCCTCTTTAGTTTGTATGGAATTGCCAGAGTTTCAAGGCCATCTGGTTCAGCTCCCTTAAAAGGGGAAAATTTACAAGAAGTAATAATGATACATTTCAAGTATATCTTTTCACTAGATACGTCTTCTTATATATTTTTTTTTTAATTAAATTCCGCTGCCTTGGAAATACACCTTTTCGTCTGTCGTCGTATTGCAGAGCTGTTCAATGATTTTATATTGCAACTTTCACGTTTTATTGGGAAAGCCCTGTCTTAGAGCGTTTATTTAGAAACGCTCCATATTTTGCCGACTGGGAACTCTTGAGTAACAACATTGTCACACAATTTATGTATACATAAATGAATCGTCGTTCGGAACAACTTTAAAACTTCCTTGATATATCTAACAAATATTCTTTATATTTTTACCCCTTAGAGTATACGGAATTAATATAATGTTGTTATTAATATTGCTTTGTTTATTGTATAACAAGAACTAGGTGGATCAGAGTAATATAATAGTAATATACATATTATGTATGTTTAAGTTATCAATACTTTTGTTTAAATTAAATAATTAAGTAACTTTTTTCAACTTTCTTACATTGTTGTTACTTCAAAATAACTATTGCTCAGATATTTGATCCAAAAATGTTCTCTACATCTAAAAAGAGGTTTTTGATTTCATTTCTTAGGATGATGTGGCTAAACTTTACGTAGACTTAAAATTTATTTTTATTAATTTTATTATTTTGGCCTTAAGTTCGTTCACATACATATGTACATATATATGTATGCACTTAAGTCACTTCAAAGCTCTTGCGCTTAAATGACTGGTTACTTGTATCTGCACGCGTCGGCTATTTGTTCAACTTCACCAACTAATGGTAGAAGGTATTGTCGTTAGTTTACGACGATATAGCGATTTACACGTGCATTCGGTACAAGTAGCCGGTCATTTAAGCACAAGAGGTACCAAGGGACTTATGCTACTTTCAAATCAAACGGCTCACATATACATACTACATACTTAACCCTAGAGTAGTCGCGCCCTTCCGTGAAGCGCGAGTGATCGCGTGAGGAGCATTTTGCCGTCCATATTTAAAGAGCTGTTGTGTTGCAATTAATAGTCAAATGAATTTAAAATTATTTTATTAAGCCAGAATGAAATATAAACTAAGCGAAAGAGCAACATTTATTAAAGTTTTACTATTGTATATAACAACGCTTGATCTTTAAAAATATGTTGTTTGAAAAATAGCATGCAGTTTTTTGCAAAATGCTCGCTAGCACTCTAGGGTTAAAACCATTCTCATGCAAGCTGTGGATAAGTTTCTAATCGTTGGTTTGTGTATTTGCAAAATCATCGCAAGGGTGCAAGATGCAATGCGCACAGTCTTTTCTTTTGATTAAGCGAGGAATATTTCAACACACCCTAAAAGGTATACAGTGTTTATACACATGGCGGTCTTTCTTTTATGAAGATTTCTATTCGCTCGCAGTCCCGCTGCATGAAGCGTTATTGTGTGTGGAATACCCCACGGAGCTACAAATATTGTTTTAAACCTTTTATAATTTTCGTAATTGGCCTCCAGTAAAAAATTGTACTTAACATGTGTATGTATTAGGGCTGTGCGATTATTCGATTACTCGAGCAAGTTGGATAATCAATTATTCGGTTAATCAATTACTCGAGTAATCAAGATTTTGATTACTCAAAACGATGATTAATCGAGTTACTTGAAATATGATTACTCAAAAAAAATAATTTTGGTCGTTAAAAGAGTTTGCTTTGGACAATGCTTATTTTCTTTTTTAAATTCTGTATATGAAAAAAAATTTTTGTTTTAATTTTTGAAAACAGAAACGTTGTTTTCAAAGTATCAAGGAACTTTAACTACTTTATACATATGTAAAGAGTTGAAATGTTGATTACTCATTTTACTCGAAATGTTGATTAATCATAAAGCAAATTACTCAAATATTTTTGTTTTTGGTTAATCAAAAATCTTGATTACTCGAGTAACTGAACTTTTGAGTAATCATAATTTCCAATTAATCGAATAATTGAGTTATTTACTTTATGATTAATTAAAATTTTGAGTAATCAATTAATCGCACAGCCCTAATATGTATGTATGTACCAAATAAGTTTCCCTAGTGAAAGTTTCATTGAAATGCATGTTTTAGATGTGGCAATAAACTTTGCCCACGACCAACGTAGAAAAGTATAACCACAAGTTGTACATTTTAAAAGGAATAAATTCTCATCCGTGGTTGTAGTTTTGGTACCACAACACGTTTCTTGGGAACCAATTTAATGAGTGATAGTTTCTTGGCAGGAATGGCATCCCAGTTGCCTAACTCCATTTCCTCGAGTTTGACACGAACAGTCCGGACCTTTTGTTTTCTTATTCAATTTCTTATCGTTTTTATGTATGTACGTTTTCTCAAACTTATTGTGTACGGAGTAGAATTTTTTACATAAAAAGGACGAGATTGTCATTTATTCATATCTGATTCGCTGTATTACACCGTTGTCTAGCATATGTATATGTACATACATACT